CAGCTGGATGTGAGCTACTCAGTTTGATGGACGCATCTCAGGGGTATCATCAGATCCCGCTAGCTCGAGAGGATTGGAAAAGGGTCAGCTTTGTAACAAGTCGGGGGACATACTGCTATGTGGTGATGCCGTTTGGGCTCAAGAATGCAGGGGCGACGTATCAGAGATTGGTGGATAAGATTTTTAAAGATCAACTGGGGAGAAACATAGAGGTATATGTAGATGACATGCTGGTAAAGAGCAAGGAGGAGATTGATAATGTAAACGACTTAAAAGAGACATTCATGACCCTTCGGAGGTATGGGATGAAGTTAAATCCTGCTAAGTGCTCATTCGGGGTCAAATCGGGGAAATTTCTGGGCTACATGGTCACAAAGAGGGGGATCGAGGTCAATTCGGAGAAAGTGAGGGCGGTGATCGAGATGCAGCCCCCCACGAAGGTGAAGGAGGTGCAGATCCTAACTGGTCGAATAGCAGGCCTGAGTCGCTTTATTTCCAAGGTAGCGGAGAAGAGCGGGCCCCTATTTAAGACACTCAGGAAGAGCTCGAAATTCCAGTGGGCAGAAGAAGCCCAGAAGGCATTCGAGGAGTTGAAGAGGGTATTGGTCGACCTACCGCTATTGGCGAAACCAGCGCAAGGGGAGGACTTGGTGTTATATATATCCATTGGTGAGACAGCAGTGAGCTCTGTGTTGTTGCGAGGGGAAGGGACAGCCTAATTTCCAATCTATTATGTGAGCAAGGTGATGCAGGGAGCGGAAAGGAGGTATTCAGAAATTGAAAAAGGAGCCTTGGCAGTGGTGGTCACAGTGAGGAAGCTAAGACCATATTTCTTAGGGCATAAGGTAAAGGTCCGGACGAACATGCCATTGGGAGAAACATTGGGTCGACCCTCCGTATCAGGGTGATTAGTCAAATGGGCGGTCGAGCTAAGTGAATACACAATTACTTATGAACCAAGAAGGGCGATTAAGGCTCAAGCGCTGGCTGACTTTATTCAAGAAGGGACGAAGGAGAGCGGGGAGTCTGAAGGGGTGTGGCAAGTGTTTGCAGATGGATCGGTATCAAGGGCTGGAGGTGGCCTAGGCATCGTACTTATGTCGCCAAAAGGTGACAGCCTGGAGTTCGCAGTTAAGGTGGCCTACCAGATATCAAACAATGAAGCGGAATATGAAGCGGTCATTAAAGGACTCAAGCTGGTCTTAAATGGCGGAGCTCGAGCAGTGCAGGTGCATTCAGACTCACAATTGGTGGTGGGTCAATTCCAGGAAGGGTTCGAGATCCGGGAGGAAAGGATGACGAAGTATGTGGAAGAGATAAAGAAGCTGCAGGGGGAGTTTGATTCCTTCGAATTAATCCAAATACCCCGAGGAGAAAATGGTCGAGCAGATCTGCTGGCTAAAATGGCGCAAAGTCTGGTGGATTGCAAGAGAAGAGGTGTGACCTTGCTTCACATGGAGAAGAGTGTGTTCGAGAAGGAGGTGGCCGAGATAGAAGAAGTCGGGGACTGGAGGGCGCCGATAATA